TTCCTCCAGTATAAATATTCTGACTCTGAATAAAGTCGTCGTTAAGACTTCACGCGGGACCAACTCGGCCACTCGGGGATTATTCGGCGCGGCACGCGAGGGGCCCCCTCGTCAAACCGCGGCGATCATCACGCGCAGCCTTGCGAGTGCTCGGGTCGCCGCGGTGACGAGATGTTAACTACCTCGCCTGGTGTGCAGGAGGTCGCGGGTTCGATTCCGAGCCTGACGATGCCTGCTGCTGCTGTATGTTTGGAGTTTGCACGTTTCTCTCTCCCCGTGGTCGCGTGGATTTTTCTCCGGGGTCCTCTCGTTAATTTCACCTCCACGCTTAGACTCGACGTCACGCGTTTGTGGTATTTTGGCAGCCGCTCCCTCCTGCACCCCCCCTCCACCCACGTTTACGTAGCCACGCCAACTCACCAACTAGCACCGCCAACTCCAACACAAAAATCCCACCCGCTCAACAACGAGTCCTGCCCTCACAGCGGGGCCATGAGGAACAGAACGTTTTGAATCGGGGGACGAAATTGTGATGTCCACCACAAAGGGTCCTTGAATCCACGGCAGATGTTTGCAATTGTCAAGTAGCACCCGAAGGTGGCATGGCCTCATTGGTTCCAATGTTTTGGATGTGGCCGATAACAGCGAATTACGTGACAGCCGCAGTAAATGAGTGGGGGGGGTTATTATTCGCCGTACAAGTGAATCGGTGCGACTGCAATTGAGCCACCTTAGGTGGTACCGATTTCTGCTCTGGCCCATGGAGGGAAGTGGATCATCCGGGAGCACCAAGCCAGTGCTTGCGCCGATCAAACCGAGGACATTTTGGCCTAAAACCGCAGAGCAGATATTGAGCAAACGAGCACCGATTGGTCTCGAGAAACGCTCGCGGACGGCCTCCACTCGTTGAAATAAAAGCGACGCCGCGCCGCCTGAATGCTGAGACGGTGGCCAGATTTTTTAAACACAGGAGCCGACCTGCGTTGCAGCACAAACAGCAGCAGCACTGCTTCAATTGCTCTATCGGGGGCCTAGGGGTCACAGTTGGCAAATGAGATTTTAAGTCGGCCCGTTATCTCTTTCTCACTTCAAAGGAGGGCGTTGTTTTTGTGGTGACACTGACACCTATTTAGAGAGGCTGTGCGTGTGCACGTGCAAGTGTGTGCGCACGTGTGTGTGTGTGTGTGTTGCGCTTAGGGGGAGCGGGAGTGTGGCAGTTAGCGCGTTGCGCTACGAACCCCGGGGGCCCGAGTACAATTCCCACTCACGGCCAACACCAGCCTCAAATGAATACCCGGTGTGATGTGTAAATATCACCACTGGGGAGACACAGGCAGACAGGCTTGGTGCTGGCCACCCACCACCTCATGCGCCATGCCGGCCTTCAAAGGTGCTCGCTAACAGCATTTGCCCCAAAAGTCTGTTTAGGCTCTATGGGGATTCTTTGTCTTGTATGTGTTGTATGAGCAGGGTCCAGCATGGGCAGTGTACACCACTACCGGAGGCGCACGGGATATGTTTACTGTTTTATAGACACGCTTGATATTTATTTTCATATTCTGTAGATGTGTGACTGTTTTTTTTCCTTCTGAAATTATATTCTCTTTCAATCATGCCACGTAACCCTACTTTATAATGACCTTTTTCCGGAAAAAAAAGAGAGCTACCTCCATGATCTAGCTACCGTATGCATTTGCGACCTCGTGATGAACTGCTTGCAAAAAATAATTGTTCGCATTTGCCACTCTGAGCGGTACCGAAACGTAATTTCGTTGCCAAGGGCTCATTGAAAGGCTATTTCATCCGTTTTCTTTTTCTGTTTAAAGGCTGCTACACCAACACTGCATTGGTGGTGGCAATGATCGTCGTTCGGCAGACGTGCAAAACCGTGTCCACTAAGCACCCTCGGGATAGCACCATCTGTTCACCGACTAACCAAACAGCAACAACAACAGACACATTAAAAAAAAAATATCGTTTTTAACGATTGCTTAAGTGAAACGATCAAGATTTAAACGTTTACTGTGCATTCAGCAGGCATCGGCGTACAGCGGCTGTACAAGGGGTTCGAACTCGTTCCACGCGTGCCGTTTCTTACCAACAACTTCAGTGTTTTACTTTCGCCCATTCGCAAAACCAAGCTTGACAAAATGCTGTGTTTTTTCCAGCATACACAATTTACAAAAAGCATTTGTTCGCAAGATGTACTTCACGCGGATGACGAGATTAATACCATGCTCTATATCAGTGCTCAAATGCCCTCCCCCTTTGGGCTGTTAGTGTATCAAAATAACGATCACCTGAATGAGACGTGACTACAGACCACAAAATTAAAATACAGCGAGTGATGAAGTATTACGACATTTACGAGGGATGTCCCAAAATAATCTAAGTTTTTTCAATTTTTGTTTGTTCATTTTTATATATAATGTACCACGCACATTTTTTTTATATACTACCACGTTAATGTGTGTTTTTTAAACGCTTGTTTACTCAGGAATGCCTCACCGAGCCTCAATACTAATTTTCAGGAGAGTCTTGCCAAGGTTTTTCGCATAAAGGGGGGGGGTCGATGTTTCTAATGCTGTGTGTGATCCAAATTGAGTCATTTGCACGTAATTTTTCGGCATTAACTATGGGAGGAAACCAGCGAACCCAGATGAAACCCATGCAGAGCATGGGGGACACAAACAAACTCCGCACAGAAAGGCGCACTGGGTTGTAATTCAAACCCAGGCCCTTCTTTCTGCGAGATACAGGTGTCACCCACTGCGCTGCCACCCAATTTAAAGCCCCGCACTGAGTGAACGCGTCTGCAACATTTAGACGGCAGATGCCTCATCCTTCCTCACGCAACATGCCGATGCAAAGACCCACACACACAAGATACACACAAGCACTGAGAAAAATCAGAGGCCAATGCACAGTTCGGGTGGACCGACTTTCCTTTGTCCACATCGCAGCCCAGGGCCTCGCACTCCACACATTTTGATCTCTCTCGCCATTTGGACGGCGGCCCGTGCCGGGCGGGGCGAACCCGGAGTGCGGGGGACGCCGTTGGCAAAAAAAAAAAAAAGGTTCCGAGAAATCTGTTGTCCTGAGCGCGTGGGAAATTAACGGGAGGCTGTGTTGAAAAAGATATTTTCACACGTTTCTTCACATTGCCATGAATGAAAATCTACAATTTTACATCGGTTCAATTGAAAACAAACTATGAGGCATTACTTTCCGAGCATCCCTCGTATTACAGAAGCAACTATTGACTTTATTTAACTTAGCCTCTGGAGACTAAAAGTAGCACCAAAATGATTTTTTTTACCACTTGAGGCCTGCCGAACTTCAAGGTTTGAAAAGGATCAAATGAAGTAGCAAGTTACAGTGTGTTCGGGAAAACAGGCAAGTGTGTGCTACATCATTAACTCTTTAACAGTTGTTCTCGATGCTTCAAGTCTGCAAAACCCAAAGCTGTGTCGCCACTCACCCCAGCTGTGAAGTCGGAGCATAGGCCCGGATACTTCAACTGGCGGACGGCATCAGCCACACGAGGCCCACGAAAGGCCCTCAAAGCGGCCCGCCGAGACGCGATGTACCCCGCTGGGTTATCCGATTATTCAAGTAATCGATGAAGCTACCGATTTTAGGTTCGACCACTCGACCGAACGGATAATTCGAAAATAATCTGGGGGGGGGGGGTGGGAAATAAAAAAAGTCTCTCTGCTCCTCTGTTCCAACGAGTGCCGCTGGACAAGAGGTAATGGGTGGGCATCGGTGACATAATCGGCACCGTCACGGCGCGGCGCGCCGGGGGCGTGGCTTGTAGGGGGTTTCCCACCTTCAGAGGGCAGGAGGTCAGGGGGAGGCCGCCATTTTTTTAAGGGGTTCCGAGTAATCGAGAACAAGTCGATTACAAATTTTTAGTCGATTCATCGACTTCAACGACTCATCGTCCCGGCTCGAGAACGATGTCCTGTGGCCCGCCAGCCAGCCAGCTCTCGCTCGAGTTATCACGTGGCCAGTAAGAAAGCAATAAAATAAACACGTCATAGGTAGAACCCTGCCTAAGACAGAGCGAGATGAGTAGACACTGCCCACGTAACATGAAGCAGGCGGCAGCTAAACAAACGATAACTCTGTGGTTCTCTACCAGTTTGGTATGGTGCTCCCCACCCCCCAATCAAGACCACAGGTCCTCCGTGCCCCCCTAGCCCATCCACCTCCCCCTCCCCCCCCCCTCCACACTTGTTTCACGTCGTGCGTTCGTACGTTTTGTCACCGCAACGTGGCGCCGACATTTCTCCTGCACGGTATCCATGCCTCAGCCTGTGCCCCCCTCCACCGACCCCCCCATCCCCAATCTGCCGTAAAGGCTTGCGAATCGCTGCGTTGACTCAAGCGAGTTCTTCAGAACCCCCGTAACATGCAGCAATAAACCCACGACGCCGATTTGCTGACGTAATGTCCGCAAAAATTAGCAACTCCAAATAGAAATGTTTGCACATCACATCGCAGCTCTGATCACGTAAAAAAATACGGAACAGCCGTTTTTTGTTAAATTCCTATCGGTGCGATTGAGATTAATTTCTAATCTGGAGAGAGTAAGGTGGCCGTGGTGGTTGGGGAGCCGTGGTGGCAAAATGTTAACTACCTCGCCTGGCATGCCTGACGATGCCTGTATATTTGGAGTGTGCACGTTCTCCCCGTCGTCCACATTCAGAAACATGCGGTTAGATTAATTGTCAGCTATACATTTCAACGTGATAAGCCACTTTCGTTGAGCTATCATTTGAGGCCAGGTCGCTTCCGAAAAAAAGCTAAACATAGCTCAGTGGGTCTTGCCTGGTAAAAATACCCAAAAAATAGCTTAGCTTTGTTTTTGGTGGTGTTGGCAGTGACAGTGGCGGTCGTGGTGGTTCAGCACTCCGAGACGTTTGCCACGCTATGCTCGCGTTACGGACGAAAGCTGTCGTCGTCGGGGGTTGTTGTTGTTGTTGTTGTTGTCGTTGTCGTCGTGGTGGTGGTGATGGTGGTGGTCAGACACCCGTCGACTCTTGGCCGCCACGTGCAGAGTCCATGGGAAGCCAGGGCAAGCCGTGGTGCAGGTAGAGCAGCCCGAAGAGCAGGTTCATGAGCAGGCTCAGGCCCAGAAGGGCACTCTGCAGCACTCCGCGCGGGGAACCTGGCCCGCACGGCACGACGAGCAACATCATCGGGTCACCAACACGCACGTAACAAAGAGTATCACTTAACATTATTATTATTATGACTTGATTTGAAGCTTTCGTGACTGAAGGAATTACTATAACGATGTTTGACTTGTAACAATCAAATGGCTGGTTATCAACATCTTTAAAAAGAACACCCCCCCCCCGTACCCCCCCCCCACCCGCTCTCCCCCCCCCCCCCCCTCCCTCCAGCACATTTGATATTACAAAAGCTAAAAGACAAAAGATTATCCAAAGCAAGTAATAACAGGTTGGGCGAACGCATCGGCCAGATAAATTTGGTGTCTCTTAAGCGGCCGGGGTCAGGTGTGGCCACTGCAATATTTCGATTAATTGCTCCGGGCACTCCTGCTGCTCGTCAGCTTGTGAAACCAGTTTCACACACGCACGCAGGACCACGAGGGGGGGGGGGGGGGGGCACGCGTGCGTCCGTTCCGCGCTTACCCACGAGCAAGGGGTCGGCGGCGAAAAGAACAAAAACGAGCCATTTTTATTATTCTGTAAAAAAAACAAAAACCCCCCCTAAATATTTTCGAGAGCCGTAATTGCGCACTGGTGGGTGAATGCGAGACGGTGGCCCTTAAATAAACGACGACGTCGCGGAGCGGTCCTCAAAGAGCCGCACGCGGCTCCGGAGCCTGGAGCTTGCCGACCCCCTGCCCACGTGCAAGTCAAACCGTGCACACGCCAGTGCACCGCTGGATGGCGGCTTCCTCGCTCGGGATTCACTTGGGAATATGCCCGACACCCGTCGGGTCTTTCTCGGGGCTAAGCAGGGAATTGCGCCTGCGACGGGTGACCGCTCGAATGGGTGACCGCCGGCTCATGCACGATAGGCCTGCGGGGGTCACGCGGCGAGCGACGTGGTAATTATCGGTTGCTGTGCTGTACTTCTACGCTCCGGCCTCCACGCACGCCCCTCCTCGCCAACCCACGCAGACCAGCATGGTCGAAGTACGGTCGAGTAACCCCCACGACCTGCACGGGCATGGGAAGGCCCTCATCCAGCAGTGGAATGCCAAATGGTCAAGGTGCAGCCCTGCAATTGCCTCTTCACGCCACTGCAGGTGGAAGGGCCTCCACTGGAGGGAGCTCCAGATGGAATTTTTTGCCTTCTATTTCACGCCGGCCAGACTTCCCGGAAGAGGTGGGAATACCCACACTTTACCCCACCACACGCGACCCGCCGATCGACTCACAGTGGTGTCGACACACACTGCTGGGCGGAAGACAGAGGCGGTGGGTATTTAAGGAAACTCGCAGGAGTTGCCGCGCCGGCAGACGGAAGCGAACAGTCACTGCGTGCTGACCATCACACCGCCGCACTGGTCGTTGCTTCACGGCGGGCACGCGAGGTGACGAGATCACGCATCGGTGCATCGCCGAGTCCGGGGTGTGCTCGCGTGCCACGGCATCGCGAGCGGACTAAATGGAACTCGAAAGAGATCCGTGCTCGCTCGCTCGATGAAAAAAAAAAACGTTTTCTAAAGGACAACGCGAGCAGCAGGCATGCATCTGAAGGATGCGTGGAAAGGTGGCAGATAAGATCAAACGGCGAAGCACAAAAGCACAGCACAGACTTCCTTATCTCTGGCTCCACGCGGATGTGGCCCTACACAAGCGTGCGAGCCAGCAGCGTTTGCCTCACAAGGCTGGCCTTCGGCTGATGGAACCCTGCAGTGGTGCCGTGGTGGCGAGATGTTAACTACCTCGCCCGGTATACAGGAGGTCGTGGGTTCGATCCCGACCTTGACGCCTGCTGTATATTTGGAGTTTGCGTGTCCTAGCTCCCTATGGTGGCATGGATTTTTCTCCGGGTTGTCCGGTCTTCACGTCCACATTTAGAAACATGGCTGCATAGTGTATTTGACTGCTAAACATTTCCGCGTGATAAGCCACTTCGTTGAGCTATCATTTGTGGCTGGGTTGCTTCTGAAAAATTGGTATTTAGCTCAGTGGGCCTTACCCGGTAAAAAAAAAAAGAAGGTCAAAATCAGTCAAGTGGTTACTTGCTGAAACAATTTCTACCTCTCTGGCCTTTCTACGTGCCGTGAGGAAGGGCCATCGCACAGAAACGTCACCCAGTGTCCATATATGCCTCGCCTTTTTAAGGCCACGGTCTTATTACCGATGAATGCGTTTTTTGGACGATGTTGGTCTCGAGAACCAATCGGCCGACGGGCTAAACATATTTCGTATTTACATGTGGAGACACAGAATGGAGTTCTGCTCAAAAACTGATTCGCAACTGAGCAGCGTTTTTGCCGATGAATGCGAAGCGTTGAAGCACTGTTTACCGTGTACCCTGCTGTGTGCAGCAAGTTTCGGCCTGGGTTTCCTGTAAAAAAATTGTTGTTTTTTTTGCGCTGGTCAGTTTGCGCATTGCCTTCACCCTGCGATGCTCTGTAACTGCCGCCACCGCAAACGCTCTTGAGCTGCAGTCGTCCAAGTCGTTAAAGAGCTGCTAGGCTCAATGGGGCCTGATCTGCTGAAAAATAAATCCCGAGTTCGAGTCTGGGCACACGTAGAGTGTATTCCCACAGGCATTGAAGCCTATCAGTAATGGCCAAGCACAAATTTCTATATTCTTCCAAAAGAAAAGCCTCAAGATACTTATCTGACCTAAAAACATTTAGATTTGAAAAAAAAATGTATATACATCCTTTATATTTTGTCAAAACAAATGCATTTAGGATATACCAGGTCAAAATACGCTACACTCGATGGAGTCTATCCAATTACAGACTGTTATTATTATTATCAACAACAACATTGTAAAACGACACGCACATCACAGCACGTGATGACAGTTGTGGCCACACGAGCTAAAACAGTTCGGGTTTTCGAAAACGATGAATTACTTCCGACTCGTGGGGATATTTTGAACTCAGACAGCACGCGCCATATCTCTCCTACTTCTCGGTGACCTATGTTGTTAGACGACGCTCTGTGAGCACACGACACGTTGCATCGTAACGGGCAAACATAACACGATAGCTTTCGGATCTACAGGGCGTCTCTGTCTGTCTGCGTTGCAGTTGCGCAAATATCCCCATGCTGACAAAAAAATTACCTGTAAAATTACTCAATTGGGATTCAACGCAACGTCGCCCTGTATTTACAAAAAAATACTTGGCGAGAGTCTCCTGAAGAGGAGTATTGAGACTCAGCGAGGCCTTCCTAGTTAAAACAAGCCCCCCATAACGATAATGTATGTATGTTGAACTTCTTTCTCACCGTACGTAGCCAACCGTGCTAATTGGAGGAGCGTTATTGGTCAACCGTGCTAAAACCAAAACTATTCCGGCAAACTGCCCGATGATGCTGGATGTAATTACCAGCGAAACGTCGTACTCAAAAATTGTAAATGTTGTGGATTCACTCTTCAACACACCGGTGGGCTAAAGTGGTGAACTATTTTGTCTTTTGTCAACGTTGACACTTTTTTTTACTGATTGGCCGTTGTCGGGTGGTGGAGGGTTGCGACACATTTATCAATAACGCGATCTAACCCAAAAACCTTTATTATGAATAATATTGGTCGCGAAAGCCTGCGTGTTAAAACCAAAACGTTTACGTTGCTCTCCCAGCATCGCACCTCGCCGAGTTTCGGATTCTCACGAGTGGCACGCGAAGGGCGTCCGTCCGCGTCGGGGTGCGATTCCGCAAGCGGCGAAACAGAAAGTGACAACTCGGCACAAAGGCCAACTCGTAATAATAACAATCATAAACCCAAAACAAAAACCAGACCTTGCTATTCACGGCCTGTGCTCCTGGCAGCCCATAATAGCTAGATACTAGCTCGCTCGCCCCCTCCCCCTCTCTCGCCCGCCTCGCTCACCCGCCCGCCCGTTATCGACAAAACAACAAACACAGGACACGGCAGACACCACGTGAGTCTGGGGGTCACCGCTGATCGACTTCCGCCCCTCTCGTCCCTCCGCTGCGGGGTCTCGCCGGCCCAAAGGCGAACGACGACGACACGGGAGGCCCGCCGATCTCAGCTCCATCCCCCCACCACCCCAACTCCCGGATTTCAACCCAAGTTCCCCCCCCCCCCCCCACCATTCCCTTCTTCCCCCTCCCCCCTCCTTCTCCTCCTCAACACCCCTCCACCACCCTCTCCCTGCTCCCCAAATCTCGTGACACAACAACAACAACAAAAAAGAACAGGCGACCGGATGCGGCCGCTGGGGCAAAATGCGGCTAGATGCGGGGCTTTTTCGGTTTCTTCCTCGCGATTCCATTTGTTCGAACACCGCTGGCCCAGTAAGGTCGCCCTGCTTCCCTGCACGCCCAGCCCCGGTGCCTGTCCCTGACCCGTGAGTGTGTCTCGCGCGTCGCGGCGGCGGCGAACTTTGTTGCGTGCGTGCGCCCGTCTCCCTTTTTGCGGCGCGCTTTGCGACGATGACGGCAGTCCTGTGGTCCGCCGAGAGACCGCGCACGTTCATTCACAAATACCCGCCTGCTCCTTTGTGTGCACGCAGCACGCGCTGTGCGTGTATACGTGGCTATGTGGGGAGCGGTAGTGTGGAGGTTAGGGCGCTGCGCTATGAACCTGGCGACACGGGTTCGATTACCGCTCAAGGCCAACACCCAGTGACGATTATCTGAACCGGTCCCGGGTCCTCCCCTAGGTCGACTCAGCCTCAAATGAGTACCTGGTGCAGTGTGTAAACATTGCAACTAGGGAAACAAAGGCGGTCGGGCGTGGTGCTGGCCACCCACCCCCTCGTGTACCGTTCCGGCCTTAATAGGTGCTCGCTAACAGTACTTGCCCCTACAGTCTGTTAAGGCTATATGGGGGATCTTTATTATGCGGGGCATCTGTCTCTTTGTCTCGTACACAAGTGTCGGGAACCAGAGAGTATAACCCTGAAAATAAGTCGTCTATAAATGTAAATCCCATTTTGCTAGACATACTACATGCCTCTGTGCACCCAAGACGTATAAATGGGTACATGACAGCTAGTCCATCGGTACCCCCACCTCTCTCAAGACAATTGGGCCAGTGTGGACGAGTAGGCCATAACATCCTCTAGAAGGCCCTCTCTAAGAGCTTCTTCTGGAAGATGAGGCCAAAACAGCGTATACGGGGGTGCTTCAAAACTCCCTCTAGTGGAGGCTCTTCCGCCACGAGTGGCCGTGCATTGCATTGTGCACGTCGAACAATGAGCTGCTTCGCTCCACAGCGATAGCAAAAGTATGTTGTGGAATTTCGGACCCATTAACGTCACACGGGCGGCGTAGCGGTTAGCGAAACCCCAGCGTCTCGAGTTCAAGTCTTGGCCACGGCTAACATCGGCGATGAGCGATCTGAACCGGTCCCGGGACCCTCTCTCTCGCTTTCACCAACTCGCATTTGACCAGCAGGGTGAAGTACGGTCAGACAACCCCTATGGCCGACACGGTGGGTGTGGAGAGGCCTTCATCAGCAGTTGGTTTCACAAAAAGGGGGCTGTGCGTTTATTATTATTATGACGAAGATCACGTGAACGTTTTAAAATGCCGTAATTTGGGAACGAATACCAGCGGGAAGCCTGAAAATTCCTGCCACCGTATTTACATTTTGCTTGGATGCCAAATCAAAACAAGAAGGAACTAAAATAAAATAAAATACCAAAACTAAAACCCCCACCACTTTGGTGAAGATAATCATTACTATTGTTATTTAATAAACATGAAAATGTTAATGTTTAGAACTGTACATTAATACATAACTTATTAGCATCATAATTTCATACAGGACCTGCATATCCCCTTTATTTCCATATTGCACAAAAATAAAGCTGAGGGTTTTTTTTTCCCGACACCAAATTTAACGACCTATAATAGATTTTTGCTGGGTTAGGTCGTGTAATGATCTGGCCTAATTTGTGTCACAAAGACCCTCCGTCAACCGACAAAAATAACCTAATTGGGCAGAGACAGAAGACACATGACCGACCTCACTGAGTGCCCTAAGTGATCACCTCCGGTGAAGCAGGCCCAACCACGGAGGTGTCCCAACCACACACAGAGGACCTGGTGGCCAGGATCAACCAAAGCAGGAAACAGTGTCGGACAAAGACCTACCAGGTGACCCAACAGGAAATCTCAACCGCGGGGAAATGACAATGACCAAATCTCACCTGGTGACCCAGCAGGGAAGCAGCTTTGGTGAGAGCATGTTCAGAGGTGGGGGGAGATGTTATCTCCCTCGACTGGTAATGCAGGTCGTGGGTTCGATCCCGACCCTGATGCCTGTATATTTGGAGTTTGCGTGTCTCTCTTCCCCGCGGTCGCGTGGATTTCACTCCGGGTCCTCCGGTTTTTTCCCTCCACATTTAGAATCAACATCACGCGTTTATAGAGTTATTTGGCTGTTATAATTTTCCGCGTGATAAGCCACTTCGTTGAGCTATCATTTGTGGCCAGGTCGCTTCTGAAAAAGACCTATATACAGTAGCTCAGTGGGCCTTAACTGGCAAAATAAAAAAAACAATATGAGTTGAACTATGGAGAAGAGACAATGACCAAGTCTCACCAGGTGACCTAGCAGGCAAGCTTTCGTGAGCAGGCCTAATAAAGGTGAAAACAGTTGCGTGAGCAAAACCCTCCGGGCGTCCCCAACTGGGTACCTCTGATGAGCGGGGCTCAAGCGAGAACACAAGCTTGGAAGGCCACATCTGCCGTATCACGCGTGCGGCCTGCCACGGTGGTTGGGGGGGGGGCTACGGGGGCTATGGGGGGGGGGCAGGTTACCTCCGTGGGCGCGCGAGGGGCAGGACGCGTCCTCCCTCCGCACCGAGTGTGTCGTGGTGTCGACGGGGCACTGCGAGGAGCCGCTCGAGCTGTCCCGCACGAGACCCGACTTGTCGCTGCTGCCGTAGACGGACTGGCCACCTGCGGCGAGGGACACGCGGCCCATTGGCGTGACGCGCGTTGAAACCGGCGCGGGAACGTTGTGCGGCGTTGGCCGTCGCTTGACGCGTGTTCACGCGACGTGCAAAATTAAAAGACTACCACCGGGCCTTGCGTTACGACCGAACGAAGATTGAATTCACAGAAATGTTTTAACTTCAAGTTCAATTCAAGCATTCAGGAAAAAATAAAGACGAAAGCCAATTTCCACTTTGGCCGTAGTGTTGGGGAGGGGAGACGCTAGAGGGTAAGAATGCAGCAAGGGCATTGGGACGGTTGAGGTGAGATGCAAGGTGCTTTGAGTTGTAGAGACATTTAAGCAAGAACCCTATGCAGGCGGTCTCTGGTTTATGACTATCCACATTTGACGACTTTCATATAATGACCCCGTGCATCGATTTACGACGCAGAAACTTGATTTACGGCGCATCTTCCGACACAACTTCGAACGCATTCGAACAGAGTCAGGTTTCCGACGTGACTTACGAGTGGAGTTTTGTTATTCTGAAGTGTTTTGTTGTTGTTGTTGTGGATCTTTAGCCGCTAAACCCTGTTAAATATGGCTGACGAGGAAAAACACATCGGCAAGTGGTGAGTCTCTCATATTCATACTGCCTACAGGGGAAAAAAAAATACAGGGTACGATTTCTGATGATCAAATTTACGCCGATGGGGTTTCCAAGAAAGCGTTTTAACGTTGCAAAGAGCGGGGACCGCCTGTCCACGCCAAATCCTCGTCTTTATCATCGGCATGATCACCACGCATCATCGTTTTACCATCATCACAGCAATCATCACAGCTACCTGATTTGGTAAAACCATACAGCAACATCGTCCCCCCTTCTTAAAATCTCAATCTATGACTAGAGCGCTTTTGCACTGTAGGAATATGCACGAACATCAAACGTTGCTCAATAATAATTATTTTAATTAATTTACAACTGCCTTCCAGTTGTGTGGTTGTTTGCTTATTCTTCAAGTCATCGGAAGCCGACGGATTTCACCGTCCAAGTGTGCGCAGGTGGGTTGTTTGTATGTATGATTGTATGCATGCGCGTGTATGCATAAGTGTGTATACATCGTACGTCGAAATCGTACAGTGGCTAATGTCAGCGACGCGTGATATCTGAACCAGTCACGGGCCTCCCTTACGTGGTCTCGGCTATAAATCAGTGCCCGGTACCGGCGTGTAAACATCAACAAATACCAAAACGATCTAAACGTCGTCGTTGTTTTGACGGTCCCCGACAGCTTGGGTCGGGGTGTGAACCGGTTGCAGCCGACCGTTGAGGACAGGCGGCTGCGCGGGCGAATTGAAGCAGCGGCGGCCACACACACCCACCCACACACCCACACACCCAACACACACACACCCACACACACACCCACACACACACCCACCCACACACCCACAGCCACGCGCAAAACGATCACGTGAAAGGAACTCGCCGTGGCGTTTTTGCGTAGCTTGCGCCAGCACAGGTGCGTTGTGGGAGGCGAAGCTCTCTGACCCCTCTCTCTGCTGCGCTTTTGTCGAGGTGTCGGCTACGAGGCAACGTTTTGCCGATTTCCACGTCACACGGGGGTGGGGGTGGGGGGAGCGAAACGGACAAAAGGCCCTTTGGAACTGACACCGAAAGCGACGTTGTCACATGCGCGCGGACACGCGGACACACGTACGACGACAAAGGTCCTCCGTGCAGCCTTTTACAGACTGTTGGGAAAGTGCTGTTTGCAAGCGCCTACAATTACATCCCCGGTGCTGTCATTATGCAGGCTGCAATTTGAGGCTGAGCTGACCTAGGGGAGGCCCAGGAACGGTTCAGATGTCCTTCGTTAGCCGAGTCTGTGGATGTAACTTAGGTACGCCGGGACAGTAGCGCAGTGCACTAACCACTTTGCACAACCGACAAGACAAAGATCCCCGCGTATAGCCTGCAACAGACTGTTTGGGCAAGTGGTGTTAGTAGCACTAATGAAGGCCGGCACGGCACACGAGGGGGTGGGTGGCCAACACCACGCCCGGTCACCTTTGTCCAGAGATGTTTACACAGCGCACAAGGTACTCGTTTCTGGCCGAGTCGACCTAGGGGAAGCCCAGGACTGGTTCAGATAACCGTCACTGGTGTTGGTGGCCCTGAGCGGGAAGTGAACACAACCCACACGCACTGTGACACTGATATGTGTAGGCTTAAAGTGATTGGGTAAGATAAGTAACACAGCACTGTAAGGCTATTCACGCGAGAGTTACAGGGGATATAAAATAGCACAACGCAGCCAGCGAAGGGAATGCTTAGAATGATACTTTTTTGCTCGGGCTAATCCCTACTTAGATTTAGACAGTTTGTACTCTGTCATTCCTTTTGTTAGTAACCTTTAGATACACGAGTAAAAGTAATATATCCCGTGTGTATATATATATTCTTGCACGTAAATTCGACCACAATAGTCACGCAGATAGGTAATCTTTAAGTCAAGATTACGACCACAATGTATACATTTGTTGAATTTAGTTTAAAAAAGGGAATTCCTTCCCAGTAAATATGGGACGTTGGGGCCCAACGTTGCGCTCACGCTGGGCAAACGTTTTCAACCACATGTCAACGTTGGGGCAACGTTGACATCGTCTTTTTTTACTTGTTAGTTCTCACCAGATTTTCACTATTATATTTCATACACGTAAAAAGTTATTTCCTGAAAAAAAAAACCCCTAAAAATCCCTGAACGTCCATAAGTATTTTACCTAAGAGATAATTCTATATGACACGTGAAACACAATATCTATTCTTAACAAGGCTATTTATTTTTGTTCTTGGAGTGGCTGTGTAACGTTACGGCAACACTATAGAACTCGTCGGAATTTTGTTTTTCCGTAAAGTTGATAAACAACCACCGCCAAACGCAGGAGGCAATGGGGGCCTTGGCTTACACAGAGAGAGAGCGAGCGAGAGAGGAAAGAGAGAGAGAGAAAGAAAAAAAATACTTCTTATGTAAATGCTCACATTAACCACAAAGCACCCCTCCCCACCAGTGTGTTGGGAGCCGGGGACACATTTATCAAACTCATCGGCGGGACAGCTGCAGCGACAGCTGTGACGAGGGTGGGCGGCGACGGACGGCGATCGCGGGTAATGACGGTGTAACGCGATGACGGTTGCAATTAATGGGACGTCACGATTGAACGGCGGCACTTTCAGGGTCTCTCGCGCGACAAAGGCTCTCGGAGAGCACTCGGTGATGTTTTTCGGAAAACAATCGCATTACCGGAAATGGATCTATTAATTTGAGGGATTAATTCTAGATTTTGAAGTTTTTGTGACTGCAATGATCCATACTCTTTGGTTTTTTTAGGGTAAAGTCACGTAGGGGAAAAATAATAAAATCACGACGTTTCGGAGGCAACACAAGCGTCCTTCGTCAGGTGTGCCTTTTTTTACACCTGATGAAGGAAGCTTGTGTTGCCTCCGAAACGTCGTGATTTTATTTTATTTATTATTATTTTTTTACCTACGTGACTTTACCTAAAAAACCAAAAGAGTAATTTGAGGGGTCTCTTTTTCCTTCTTTCCCCACCCACTTTCTCAGGGCGCGTTCGCAGGTTGGATGCGATGTCACACGAATAAAAGCCAGTGTTTAACACGTAGGCTTTCGTGACCAATATCATCCATAAGAGTTTTTTTTTGGGTTAGATCGCGTAAGTATGTTAATCTGTGAAGCTGGTTGTAATTACTGGTGAAACGTCGTACTCAGAGTGTAAATGTTGTGGCTTGGCTCTCCAACACACCGGTGTGCTGTACTAGTATACTACACTATACACTACATTACTATACACTACACTATACACTAGTGCTGTACTAGTGACGAATTGGCCACGTTCTGTTTACGTGACAACCCTCACTAGTTGGCTGTGTCGGGTGGTGGCGGGTTTTAACGACACATTTATATATTTACGCGATCTAACACAAAAAAAAACCTCTATTAAAAGCCGATGGGTCGAACCGAAAGCCACGGGGCCAAGCGTGGATTTGAGGAATCTGCAAAAAAAAATATTGGCGGGGCTCGTTTCAGTGAATGGGCCAAGTTTTTGTTATCGATTTTTTTTTGGTTCACACCACTTGCTTTTCTATTTGGAGTGAAAGACGATCCATCGATTCTTGAACTCATTGACAGAATTACAATTACATGCGTAGAATTACATGCATAAGAATCGACGTCAATCACGGGGTATATGTCGATTGCGTGTCTACTGGGGGGGGGGGGTGTGGGTAGAACAAACAATACGAATTATTTCAGCTCAAAATACCACGCGTGTTGCAACGCATGTATAAGAACCGTTGGTACTTTGATTCGTGTGCGTTTTAGGTCATGGGCTCAAAACCATTTGCCACAATGTTAAAACAGAATCAACTCTCGAATCGAAAGGCGATCCTGAATCGTGAGGATTCAACCCATGCTTGGCCGTTCTTCCCACGTTGACCTTCGTGCGACTAACCCCTCTCCCTACCTGTCACATGACCAAAGACATTTCACGGTAACGAGATTTAAAGTAATTATCATCCCCTGTTTACATCCCCAAGCTCGTGGTTAAAATTCCACATTAATATGGCGGGGGTGAGTGCATCCATATAGGACAACCGATAGTTGACCGACCCACAAAGCGGTGCTCGTTTTACGCTCCCCAGAGGGATGATGGGCCGAGTCGCGTACGGATGCACCGCAGTTCAGATGCACGCACAGCGCTAATTCGGCGACTGCTCAGGACACGACTCATTTACTCTCTCGCGTGCCCCTCGCAAATGTCGCCTCACTTCGACTTTCACCGTTGAGCCGAGCTCCATCGCTCATCTAAAACGAAACCACAAACTTGTTTTTATTTGACCATATGAGGCCCACCGAGCTGTACAGCTCTTTCATGTTTAAGACGCGACCTGGCCACTAAACAACTGCTCGACCAAGCGGCTTGCCGTCGCGTGGAAATTTATCGCAGCCATTCGAAATGTGGAGGGAAAAACTGGAGGAGCCGGGGGGAAAAATCCACGCGACCTCAAGAGAGAGAGAGACACGCAAACTCCAAATGTCCAGCAGGCGTCGGGGTCGGGATCGAACCCACGACCTCCTGCATACCAGGCGAGGTGGTCGACATTTCGCCACCGTGGCGCCCATCTCTACAGAGGCAGCAGCGGGAGGCGTCTTGTCCGGCGGTTGTTCAGAATGTGCGATGCTGCCGCTGCTTCTCCTAATGATGATTAATGGTGCGAAAATGCCTACCCCCCTCCCTCGCACGTGACAACCCGACGACCTTCCCCCCTCCCCCTTCCTCAGGGGTTTCGTTAATTGCCTGCTCGGTTAATACGCGTACATCGCCCACTTTAACTCCTTTTGCAATTCCTCCCACGTAATATTATCCCCGTGTTTACAAATACGGCTCTCGTTCAGAGCCATGACTAACCGCAGGCCTTTCCCCGCTTGTAATAACTATAACAGCGCATTAAATGGGGGTGGGGGGGACGTGCGTTGGGGGGGGGGGAGACGAGGAGAATCGATCGCTGCCCTTTGCGATGTGACTGCAGACTGCAAAGACGGAGGTGAAAAGCCAGCAGCTCAGCCACACCCGTTAACGATATCACGATTGAGTGAGTCGACAATGCTCTCAGCCCGGTCACCGGTGACTGCACGCGAAGGGAACAACGATCGCATCAACTTTGGTCTCGCAATCCATTGGGCAAAATATTCGCAGATCTCCGCATTCAATATTTCCAGCCTTGAGCGCCATGCCACGGACGGAAAGTGTTGACTTGGAGGTCGGTCGGTCGCTCGAAGGGGATCTCGGAAGTAGTTTGGCGATGTCCGCTTGCGCGGGCCATTCTCCGGCATGAACGGTGGCAACTGCTCTGAGAGATCCAAACGGGCCGCTTCTTCTCATCACGTGACGCCGATAGCACAATCGCCACAACATCCAGGACGACTATTAAATAAACACCGGTTAAGCTTAAGATGCTGTTGAATTAAGATGCCGTATCAAATGCGTAATGACAATGCCATCAAATCGTCAAGGAAAGCCTCCCTGAGCTTCGACATTCCTTTAAAAGAGGGTGCTGCGCATGGGTGTTCCGGTTGGCAGGATATGAATGTGACTGCTGAGCGAACATACTTTGCCCCCTCCATAGCACAGCTTTCCTCGCTCTGTGGGGGAGTAGATACGTTCCCAAAAAAAGGGGCACACTAAGCGAAACCGCACGAGGAGACAGCTGCCTGCCGAGTAGCGCACGCAGGACACGCACGCAGTACACGCACACAGTACACGCACGCAGTACACGCACGCAGTACACGCACGCAGTACACACACAGTACGCACACAGTACACACACACAGTACTCACACAGTACACACAGTACACACACGCAGTACACGCACGCAGTACACGCACGCAGTACACGCACACAGTACACGCACACAGTACACGCACGGTACACACACAATACACACCACAACGCAATAATGTTGTCCCACGTCCGACCGCAAATCCGTATCCGAGTGATTTCAAGCCGCATGAAATAGCGAATTTTGTGCACAAATAGTTTCGCCACATTCAAAGCGCAAAATCGCACAAACCGAAGCCGCGTATAGCAAGGGGAACCTGTATATTGTCCCTTACTTGAATTGTTAAATTAACACGATAAACCTGTACTCTAACTTCCAATCAATGTGTCCTTTTTAATTTAAGATATCTATAATTCTTTGGGTCTTTCGATAATTTTTTAAATAAAATAATTGTATTTTATAATTGTATTTATTTATTTTAAAAATTATTTTATATCTACGTGGCTTTACCCAAAGACCCAAAGAATATAAATTCCTGCAGTCAGGAAAGCTTTAAGTGAAGATATCTAGTTGCTGCTTCTCAGACTCATACATAAAATCACAATTTCTGTTTTTACTGCCACGAAGTGGAGAGGGATATTTTGACGTTTCGGCCAAGTAGCCTTCTTCAGGCAATAGTAAAGCTTAGAGAGACACACACAAACACACAGAGGGAGAGAGAGAGACAGAGAGGGAGTCTAAAACAGTGCTGGGGAGTGATGCTGGCGAGTGTGTGATGTCAGATAACTCACGAGGGGGTGTAATGAGTCATGAGCGTTTGAAATTTCTTCGACCGCATTCCATGCGTTAACCGCGTCGACTGTCTGACCACACGTTCAACGTGCGCTGTGCTATCACTTTTTATGACCGAGGCCTTTCGTGAAGAGGAGACTTTTTCGCATCAACGAACTCACACCACCATTATCATCACCAGCAGATGAATCGCGTAGGTGACCAGTGTGTCCATGTTCCAGCTCACACCTGGTTTTAAATAACGAACTTCTTACGCCGTGTTTCGGCTATGGCCAAAGTCAGACGGCATGCACCACATCTCGTCAGATCTCTCGGAAGCTTCGCACATTTTGACCCTGGATAGGTGTTTGGCCCGGCGACCACCATGCACAAACAGCGGAGGGAAGTGCAGCAAATATCCGTTATTTCACTGTACTACGCTCCTTGCCTTCACCAGCCTGCACTGACCAGCATTGTGAAGCGTGGTCACCCCCCCTCCCCCCATACACACCACCACAACAACTCTTTCAATACATCTGGTCAGCGTGGAAGAATAGGCCAAATGTCCATTTAGAAGGGAGCTCTCTTAATTCCCTTTAAAACCAAAACACAGAGCATGCTTGCACCTGTATTTGACTGCTATAACATTTCCACGTGATGATAAGCCGCCCCCGTTGCGCGATCATTTGTGGCCAGGTCGCTTCTGAAAAAGAGCTCTATAGCTCCGTGGGCCTTACCTGGTAAAATAAAAATTGTTTTATAAGTTTAGATGAGCGATGGAGCCCGGCTCAACGATGAGAGTTGATGATGAGAGAAAGTTTAGTTTCGTGCGTAACTAACTTTTATCTGGCGCCTCTCGCTCCCAGAATACTCGCACTGCGTCTTTCGATGTGCGTGTGTTTACGTCACTGTTAAGACTCAAATGCGCAGCTTACTCGCGCCTCCGCCTAGCTCTTTCTGCCACCTCCCGCGCTCTCACATTTCAAGCGCACCGCATTCGTTTATTTCTTTGCATCTGCGTACCGCACGGCACGGAGGCGAGGCTCCGCGGCCCCGTCCTCCCGCCGGCGACGCTGCGGGGGGCGGAGGCCGCGTCCTGGCAACAGTCGCCGGGGGCGACCACGGAACCGGGCGGCGTCGGCGGCGACGACGTCGACGACGACGAGGCGGTGGAGGCGCCGGCGGCGGCGGCGGAGGAGCCCAGGACGAGGCGAGCGGGGCTGATGAGCGGGCGCCGCGGGCGGAGCGGGGACGGCGAGAGGGGGCGGCACGGCGTGTACGGTGGCGGCGGGGGGGTCCGCGGCGCCGTCAAGAAGTCGGAGAAGAGCGAGCCGGACGTGGACAAGCACGACGGGGACACGGGGCGGCTCCAGGAGGCCACCGAGAGCGTGTCTGTGCGGCGCAGGCGGACACACACAAAGACAAAGGTCCCCCCCGTATGGCCTTAGCAGGCTGTTGGGGCAAGCGCTGTTAGCGAGCACCTGATGAAGGCCGGCACGGCACGCCAGGGGGCGGGTGGCGAATACCACACCCGACCAACTTTGTCTCCCTCGTGGCGATCTTTTACACACCGCACCAGGTGCTCATTTGTGGCCGAGTCGGGGAGGCCCAGGACCGGTTCAGGGGAGGCCCAGGACCAGTTCCGATAATCGTCACTGGTGTCGACCGTGAGCGGGAATGGAACCCGGGTTGCCGGGTTCATCGCGCTAACTGCTACTTCCACCGCTCCCCACACACACACACGTGCTCACACACACAAAAGTGCTCACACAAACACACACACACGTGCTCACACACACAAAAGTGCTCACACAAACACACACACATGCATGCCCACAAAGAGTTATTCTCTATGGGACCCTTTTTTCCCAGTATCAAGACGATGAAAAAGGAAGGGGCTTTACCGTTTCCGGCAAGAATACAGGAGGCGTTAAGATTTTAAAACACCAAATGCACACCCATCACAAGGGACTAAGTCTGCACTAACCACACACGCTTGTGGTAAAACATTTGTATACTATTTGGTTCGTTCGGTAAAGTCACGTAGGCTGAAAAATAAATAAAAAATAACATAACACGACTTTTCGATCGCATCACAAGCGGTCGTCCTCAGGCGGAAAAAATAATCCAGCAGTGGAACTGCTGAGCCAGCGAGCACGGCACGCGAGGTGGCGGGTGGCGAATACTGGTTCAGCAGTTCCACTACTGGATTATTGATTCCGCCTGAGGATGACTGCTTGTGTTGCGATCGAAACATCGTGATATGTAATGTCCTGTTTTTATTTATTATTTATTTTTCTACCTAGGTGACTTTACCGAAAGAATCAAAGAGTATGGATTCCTGCAGTCACGAAGGCTTCAAATCAAGGGTAAAACATTTTGTTAATTGCTTTATCATTGGTTCATTGATTTAGTAGGTCAAGGAATTAGTCAATTATTGTGTCTTTCATTCAGTTAGTCATTTGATCAGTTGGCCGATAAGTCATGCAGTCAATCAGCTGACGGGTCAGTCAGTCATAGTCAACATTTACGAAAGTACAAATACTTCAACTCGTACGCGCGCGATCTACCGCACATATCGCGCCCTTGGAGAATCGCCATTAATCCATGAACCGTTCCTCCCCAGGTGCACGTGCGGGAGCGGAATTAGCGATCGCCGCGACAAGACGCGGTTGATCGACGCGCCGAGCGACCCTCCCCTCTCGACCGTAGCGTCCTCGCCTTGCGGGCTTCGATTCCCGCGGAGAGACCCGCGCGGGGGCAATGCCGTTCCACGGGGAAAATCCGGCCAGCGGGGTTTCCGATCAACGCAATTATAATGCTCGCAGCGGTGCACCGTCCCCTGCATCGCAGCACGTGGATACCTGAGAACGGGTTGGCCTTGTACAAGGGCGGAGAGGCGACGGGACGAGCGCTCTCCAGCAGGTAGCACGGCTCTGCACAAACACAAAGACCACCCCCCCCGCCCCGCCCCGCGTAGGCTTTAGCAGGTTGTGGTGGTGAGTGCTGTTAGCGAGCACCCATTAAGGCCAGCACGGCGCACGAGGAGCTGGTGTGGAGATGCATCGTAGCATATTTAAATTTTCCAATGTTTGCTTTTGGGTGGAATAGGCAGCATGCAGTGTCTCCTGATGGTACAATATCGTCCGCGCAGCAATCAGAAATAATCTTTGTGAATATCCAATTGCCTTTTGTGCGTGTGTGTGTGTGTGTGTCCGTGCCCGTGTGAATGAGACTGCATGTTGGTACGCGCGTGCGTGGGCGTGAACGCGCGCACGCACATATCAGGGAAACCACACGCCCTGCGAAGCCCATTACGCCCATCAAGTTTGGCAGTGCCTCGATCGCGTTGACAGCATGATGCGTAGGGTCACGCGCAACTGGGGCTACTCTGGCGATATCGACACGCGCGTGAGACTGTGCCGAGACTGTGCCGAGACCGCGGAGCGTCTATCCGTCTCTCTCAAGAGACAGGAGGGGCCGGCTACTAACCAGGCAGGCATCATCAACATCGTCGTTTGCCATGGTGTATCCGCCGCTGGCCACATCATCATCAACATCACATGCCCAATGCTGGATAAACCCACAATTGTGTTGGCAGCACACGAGAAGATCTCGCATCATCAGATACACACCCAAAGGCAAAAATCCCCAGTATAGCCTTGAGCAAGCCGTTGGGGCAAGTGGTGTTAGCGAGCAACAGTACCTATGAAGGTCGGCACGGCGCACAAGGGGGTGGGGTCAACACCACGTCTGTCCCGGCCGCCTTTGTCACCCCAGTCACGAGGTCTACTACACACAGCGCTAGGCACTCATTTGAGGCTGTGTTGACCTAATAGAGGCCCAGGACTGGTTCAGATAACTGCCACTGTTATTGTTCGAGAGCGGGAATCGAACTCGGGTCGCCGGGTTTGTAGCACGGCATGCTAACAACTGCACCACTGCCCTACCCCAACATGCACACACAGGTGTACACTGCACATCGCATTGTGCGTGTGCGAGTACGCAAGTGCGTGAGTGTGTGTGTGTGCACGGGTTCGTGTAGGGCAGTTGTGGAGAGAGTGGAGAGTTCCCCAAACGTCGGCAGTCTGCTCATGACCGGCTCCGGTTTGACAGCAAAGGTCTCACTCCGAATCAGTCGAGCGGCATTATCTTTTTATTGGTTGCGTAACGCTGTGTGGAAGCTACCCGGTCTGTCGCTCCGCAACGAAGCTTCAGGTCTTCTCGGCCACGGTCATTCCCTCCCTTCTCTACGCTTGCGAAACGTGGACCCCCCTAATGGAACATCTTCGCCGGTTAGAAACATTTAGGTTGGCTGCCTATGATCAATCCTGGGTTTAACCAGGCTGGCTTGTGTGAGGAGCTCACAAATCCTTGAAAGATCTGGACAAAGTCCCATCGGTGAGCTCCTCCGGCAGGCAAGGCTGCGTTGGCTGGGTCATGTAGCCCGCATGCCCAGCCACCGCATGCCTAAACAGCTTTTGTTCGGCCGGATCGAGGGGGCTAAACGGGCGCGGCACGGGCTAGAGAAGAGATGGAGTGATGTGGTACAGGAGGACGTGGAGCTGAGTGGACTTGCCGATGACCGGTACCAGCGGTGTCAAAATCGACCTCTGTGGAGGAGGCTCGTGAAGGACGCTACTGGGCAGTTGGGAGGTAGTCGCCCTCCAACAACAACGGAGGGCGGAAGAGCGATGCTCACAACAACGAGCGGAGTGCCGGGCGGATAAAACACAGCAAGTTGGCAGAGTAGGGGGCACAGGTGGTGCATCAGCCAGTCGTCTCAGTCAGTCGACCGACCTCCTGCCAGCGGGCGTTCGACACTTCACGTGGCCTCACGCGTCGTGGTGACGTCACCGCGAATGGCGGTTGTTGTTGCTGTTGCACGGGTTCATGTATGCACGCCCACGTGCGCGCATGTGTCCGGGTAGATGTATGCATTTTTTGCTTATATACGTGTGTGGCCACACGTGTGCGTACATATGTGTGTGCATGCGTGTGCACGTGTGATCCCACACACGAGTGAGTGCGTGCTTGCCCACACGTGTGTTTGTGCATGCGTGCCCGCATGTGTGTGTTTGCGTGTGCGCGTGGCGCACGTGTATGGGGCATTTGTGTGTCATCGGCCGTGAGACTCCAGGCATTCGCTTCCCTTAGCCGACACCTGGGCCTGACATACCTGTGCACGTTAACAAAGGCAGCGAGGATGAGCGGGGAGGAGAGATGAGGGGGTGGGGCTGGGAGCACGGTGGTGCGGTGGTGCGGTGGCGGGGGGAGTCGAGAACAGAGGGAAAAAAAGGAAACACAAATGCACGTGCAAGGCCCTCGGCCCGCCGGTGTCAAGACAAAAAAATGTTGCAAACGCAAAGCCGAGCTGTCCCCCCCCCCCCCCCCACCTGCCAAAAGCCCCCCCCCCCCCACCCCTAGCCTCTCTCCATCTCATGATGGCGAAGCGCCGAGCTGGCACCATTCAGGGCCTGGGTTTGAATTCCACGTTGCCGCCGCCCGTCGTTAAACCGGCTTACGCAAAGTGAAGCGTCGAGCTGCTGCTGATATCTCGACCCCCCCCCCCCCCCCCCCCACCCGATGCTCGACCCCTTCGTCAGAAGAAAATGACACCAAAGTTAAATAACGCGCACGCACAGAACGTGGCAATGTTGTGCAACGCGCCGTTCTCCTCGGGAGTATTCCATCAAGAGTTCGGGAGCCGATGGGTGGCTGTCACGGGAACATCCCGGACATCCGTGAAAAAAAAACAGATGTATCGCTCATTGGATTCCTTCAGTATAAATAAATATTCTGATTCTGATACGTTTGCACACGAGCACAGAGGAGTCACTTTGGCCCTGGTTTGTCTACAAGTTTTGAGCAAGAGCTTCCACCAATTTGGCCGGTTTTCAAGAGAGCGAGTTTTGCATATCAACTTTACACTGCAGGTTCGTCCATCCTGCATTGCATCGTCTGCACAAGATGTATTGTGCCCCTCCGTTACAGGCAGACAGAGCAAATGTATAAACTCTTTCAACTTCAGTTGGAAACCGTTTAGAAGCAACGATATGCCGCACATAAACAATTTTTATTTTACCAGGTGAGGGCCCACTGAGCCATTTAGCTCTTTCTCAGAAGCGACCTGGCCACAAATGATAGCTCAACGAAGTGGCTTATCGTGTGGACATTAACAGCAGCCAAGTACTCTAACCGTGTGTGGAGGTAAAAAAAAAATCGGAGGGCCCGAAGAAAAATCCACGCGACCAAGGGGAGAACACGCAAACTCCAAATATACAACAGGCGTCAGAGTTGGCAACGAACCCACGACCTCCTGCATACCAAGCGAGGTAGTTAACATCTCGCCACCTCGCCCCACCGTCCCCCCAACCCCCGCCCCCCCGCCGCCTACTCCATGCCAGGGCTCTTCGGTGTCATCACGTCGCACTATGCAATGTCGAGCCGCCCTTCACTTCCTGCACACCTGCATGTCTAGAGGCCACAAAGCGGTGCTGGGGAAGGGGGCCGTGGAGGCGGGCGGGCGGGGGGGGGGGGTGGATGTGGGCAAGGTCAATCCCCACACCACACCTAGCGTGGCCTTTCCCCAGCCGCTCACACCTGGGCCCAGCTGGAGAAACACGGCACCTCCACAGCGGAGCGAATCCGCCGGACTACGCGGAGGGGGGGCCGGGAGGGGTGGGGTGAGGGGCGTAAAGAGACGGCGTCGATTCGTGGGGCTACGGCGATGACGAGGATTGTTCCCCGGCTTCGTGATCACAATCGGAAAATGTATTTATGCCGGAGGAATCCGATGAGCTACAAAGCTCTTTCCTCTCCGCAGATGTCCAGTCGTGGGGGCACGGGGTCAGAACGTCACGACGACGACGACAAACAATACGAAACACGATACGCGCGGTCGGGGCAGCCGCCGCCGCCGCCGCGGTCAAGCCGCATTGCGATTTGTAGCTGCCGTAAGTAATCGGTTACAGCCGCGAAACTCCCTCCCAGCCACAGGAGGCAGTCCACCTTCGCCGAGGCATGAAATGTTTTTTTTTTTATAAATAGAACCGACCGTCGAATTGGTGAATCGCGAGAAGTCACCGGACCGGAGGAAGGGGGCGAGGACCGAATCGTGGATATTAACAAAAAATAGTTCGACACAAAGGGTGTAATAGGTAAGACGAGAAAACCCCAAAAACTTTGCTCACGCCTTTTTTTTGTTAAGAGAAAAAAAAAACGAGGCCGACTGATCTTGACGTGATTAGTGCCCCTACGGTGTTTGTCGCTCAAAATCCGAGATCTCTCTGCTATAACCCACACATACAACTGAAGCCAACCATACAGTGCGGCGCGGAGGAACGACACGGGATAGGATGTTGGGGGGGCGCGTTGGGCGGGGGGAGCAGGTTGAAGAGGCGGATGAATGCTGGGAGGTGTAGAGGTGTACGAGCGATGGGGGCAGGGAGGTGGGGGGGGGGGTTGAAGGGAGGGCTGCGGATGGAAGAGAAGGTTGGGGCGGGGGAGCAAAAAGAAGAGAGGGAGAGAGAAGAAGGAGGAGAAGGAGGAGAAAAAAAGTCAGCGACACAAGCTGACAAATATGCACCCAGAGAAAAGATTTCTACCTACAAGTGACCTGGAAACTATGCTAATCCCGCACGGCTGCGAGTGGTCACTGGCAACATCCTCGCCTGCAGCGCTCCGGGGGTGACCTTTGCCACCTGGCGTGGCGGCGTGCTGACGTATTGTGTTGCATTTCCAAGGCGATCGCGGCGCGTCCGGGCGTCCGTGCGTCCGTGCGGGCCCTACCGCTGTCGTCCTGCTGGAGGCCTAACGGCGACATCGCGATGCAAAACTCGCCCCCCCCCCGACCCCCCCCCCACATCGCCTCTCGACCCCTGCACCTCCGATTAGCACGGTTGGCTACGTACGGTGAGAAAGAAGTTCAACGTAC